CGCAGCGCAGCGCGCACAGCTGCTGTGCGCCGCAAGTATGATAAAAATCCATGAGGCCAGGAATTCCTTGACATCTCTACCCGGACAGAGCCGGGGCCGTTACCCAGATTTGGCTCGAGCTGGAAACCGGGTCCAGTGTCCCCTTGTCTGCAACTTCAACAAAAGGGAAACTGGACTAAGTAATGGCAAACAGAAATAAAGGAACAGATAAGGTACTGAACCCCCGGAGGCAAAACCAGGCTATTCCTGTCCCCTTGACCCTTTTTTTCTGTGTCTACCCTGTCCCTTCCCCCTCCCTATCCTGAACCCTGCTCCTTAAACCCTAAAACCCTACGCCTATTGATGCTATTTTTCCTTGGTTCGTCTCCTTAAACCCTAAACCCTACTGGAGTTGCTCTTCTTTCCCTTTACCTTCGCCGCTTCATCTGCTCTGTCCCCACTGAAATACTTAGGCCTGAGGCCGGGATAGTCGCTTCTTTGCCATTTTCCAGAAATCTGTGCTCAAAACCTGTCTTTCAATTCCTGTTCTTGGTCCGGTTGGTGTCTCATCTGCCTCTGCGCTCTTTTCCACTGTGCCCAGGCGTCGGTTTCCGCCGACCTGTTTCCTGACTTTTCATATCAGAAAATTGTTAAGCCTACCCTGTAAGTTTGTCGCGTGGCCAATGGAGTCTAATATCTCACCGTTTTGAACTGCATTGTGCTTTTTTGTGATAGAGAAGAGCTTATGAAGCAATTTGAAGGAACACCTACAGTTTTCACTGGGATGCTAACAGTAAGTGCAGCGTTGCTAGCCTCTTTTTCACCTTTCGCTTTTCCGGTTTGGTTGTAAGAAGATTGGTTCCCGGTACTTTGCGCAGGGAGGGAAATGCTAACGCCTAACCTCCAGCTGTACTGTGAAGGAAAGTAGTAGCAAGGGAAGAACAAACAGCAAAGCAGGCGAAAGGAGAGTCATGCATGATTCTGCAGGCGGTCAAAGAGAGTGGATACCACCATGGGTAAGTGTGGGATCTTCAAAAGAAGTAGGGGTAGTGTGGAAAAATGTGGCTACTACGGAATAGTACGAACATGCGGTCTGTTTTTGTAGAGCCCGAAAGCCAGCAAGAGGATGATGCTAGTGGCTGCAAGCTGCTGGGCATGTAAGTCTGCAAGCTGCTGGGCATGTAGTTCTGCCGCTTTCCAATCTCAGTCAGCCAAGGCTGCGAGTGCCTGGGGGGAAGAGCCAGCTGCAGGGAAGAGTGCAGGTGCCGTTACAGTGAGATGGGGACTTGAGCGTCCGTCGACACAGTGCGTTTTCCTGCTTTGTCCCCTGTCCCACTGCTAGAAACAACACAACTCCCTGTATCTACACAGCTCCCCTGTCCCCTGTCCCACTGCTAGTGGAGTGTAGGGGGTTATCTGCTTGTGCACTATAGTCAAGAAGGCTATGGTGGCAGGGGAACCCATGAAAGGAATCTCAACTAAGAAGAGAAAGCGACCCTAATTACCGTCGCTGTCAACTGCAAGGTGGTGAAGAGTATGCATGGCAATGCTCCTCCTAGAACTATCTGTCCAAGAAAGGGATAAGGAGAGCCTGGCTCAGTTGGTACACCCATGAACTGCTGAAATACAGACCCGAGTTCGAATCCAGTTGCAGACAGATTAACGGAACAAGTCCGAACAACCTACTTCTGGATTACCTAGGGCCAGTCTATTCAATGATAGTTCGAATCCAGTTGCAGACAGATTAACGGAACAAGTCCGAACAACTTACTTCTGGATTACCTAGGGCCAGTCTATTCAATGATAATATCTCAAGGCCGTTGCCCTTTTTAGAAAAGGGAAAAAGATAAGGAGACTGCATCTGGGGATGAACGCTCAGGACGTCCCTACTCCTGTGGAGCTCAAGATTGTTAATGGGGATGTGATTCAGATCAGGCAATATGTCAAAGGACATCCCTGTTCCTTTTGATGTCGACGGCAGGATACGCCGCAACGTGTCTCTGGATGGATTACTACCATGCCAAATGGTTCTTCGGCAGCAATGGTGGAGGTCGGTAGGAGCAGTGATATGACTTGTGCTACTTTCGGCAGCGCAAGTGCCAGATTCACGAGGCGAGTGTGTGACCCGAGGATATGTGAAGCGAACAGCCAAGGATGAGTCCGGGAAGATGTCTATGTTGGCACCAGTGTTCTTCAATTATGTGTGTCAGCAGTGCAGTGAAGGACTCTGGTTAGCTTGGGTCACTACAGCGGATGTACATATCATTTGCATCGAGGTTGGAGTGCCGGTAGTGCGGCAACTACCCTTTACATAGTGCTGGGTGCGGCAGCTCACTGAGAACGGACCTACCACATGTTTCCAGCAGACCTCCAGCAGGTTGAAAAGGTAGATGGCAGAACTCACAGAAAAGGAATGGAGCAGACCCAACGCTTCATCATACAACGTACCAGTGCCTTTTGTGCAGAAGAAGGACGGAGTCCGTACGATTATCGATTACCACAACCTGAACAACATGTCCATAAAGAGTGTGGAGTCAATGTCGCAGATAGATGACCTGTTGGACAGAGTGCAGGCTGCAGAGTCTTCTCCAAGGTTGACCTGGAAGAAGAAATCATCAGATCGAGGCGAAGCCTGCAGATCGGCACAGACGAGTGTCATGTGCCTGCCGTTTGGGCCTGCAGATCGGCACAGACGAGTGTCATGTGCCCGCCGTTTGGGCCTGCAGATGCACCCGCAACATTCCAGCGGGCAGTGAATGATCTCATCAGGAAGCATTTGGATCAGTTGGTGTTGGTGTTGGTGGTGGTGGTGGTCCACCTTGACAATATCCTCGTGTTCAGCCGTAGGTATGAGGAGGAAGTGGAGCATCTGTGAGGAGTCTTCACTCTGCAAACGCCAGTATAAGATCAACGGCGATTCAATGCCAAAAAGAGAGTAGGAGGAGATCTTATACCTTGGGCATGTCATTGCTTGGTCTGGAGTTCGTCCAGAAGCGAAGGAGGTTGAGGCTGTTGTTTGTGGCTTTTGCAGAGTGCCCAAGGCCACACATCGTGAGAGATGTGTGGCGATTACTTGGGATGGTCGACTACTACGAGAAGTTCATCGACGGCCAAGCCATGGTTGCCGCACTACTGACCCACTTTCCATGACATGTCCTTCTGCGGCGTAAACTCAGATGCTGTAACTCAAGCCCTATCACCTAACTGGACCAAAGACTTTGGATTACCGAAAACCATAGATCGTGACATAGATGTTCGCTTCACTAGCAAGCAGTGGCAGAATCTTACGCAGAAACTAGGTACAGAACTCAACATGACTTCAGGAAATCATGCTGAAACTGATGGACAGGCTGAGCAAATGAACAGATTACTGCGTCAGCTTCTGTGCTATTTCATTTCTCCCAATCAGCTTGATTAGGATGTCAAACTGCTTCAGATAGCTGGGCTGTGTATAGTCATGCTATACACTCAGCCATCGGGAGAACATGTAACGAACTGCACTTGGGATGGGAACCAGGAGGCCCCTCCGGACTCCTTGTTCGCAGTTCCCAAACCGCAATCGGCCCCTGCAACAATGGAATATGCCCTGGAATGCGAAAAGCTGATGGAATACAGACTGTATAATAGCTACAGAAAATCTCAGAGGCCAATGATCGACTCAAGAAATCAGCACAGAAGGGTGTCCAGGTTCCACGTAGGTGATGGGGCGTGGGGTAGAGCATCAGGGTTTACGCCAGAGCAGGACGTATCAAGGAAACTGACACCAGAGTACTTTGGGCCGCGGACTGATTGTAAGCAATGACCCTGATGACCCTTCCTATGGGATTGACGTCCCCGCTGCATCGCTGCGCGCTTAGCCCGTGTTCTACGCGTCCAAATACCTGCCCTACACACACAGCGATCAGTTATCGATGCTGCCTTGAACCATGAGTGGAGGTCAAGGCGATGTTGATCGCATTGTGGAGCAAAGAATCATGCCAGTGTAGATGCCAGGGGGCAGAGGAAGACCACCCAGTGTGGATCCTTAAGAAGAAGGGTGGTTTATGAGTGGGATCATCTAATGTTCAGAGGG